GCCGCTGCTCGCGACAGCCGAGCTGGCGCTGCGCCTCAAGGCGAGGGGCGGCGGCGACAGTCGGCTCGGGGTGATGAACCGGCACGGCGTCACGAAGTATGCCAGCGAGGAATTGCAGAGGGTCCGCTCCGCGAAGTTCTACTGGCCTGACTCCGCCAACCGCGACCGCTACGACTTCAACGGCGCTAAAGACTTCACCGAGAGCATATCCTGGGGCTGGCACCACCCGAACGGCGTCTACAACACTATCCCAGTGGGCGCCCCCCTCATCGACGGCGACCAGAACATCTACCTCGGCTCGGACGACGCCATCTCGGACGGGGCCAGGATGAAGGATAAATCCGTGCCCGAGTCTTCCAGAACGCTCTCAGAGCGTTCTGGAACGCTTTGAGCAGGCCGCGACGCCCGAAATATCCTCCAGAGCCGCCGGATCTCAGAGATTCTCGATTCTTCCCCGCCCCATCTTATCCTCGTCCTGGCTTCGTCTGACCATCCGAAAGTTTAGCGCCTCTGGCGACCTGCTGTGGAGCTACGCTCCCCGCGGCCAGCTCGCTGCCGCGCCCACCCTGCTCGAGGCCACCGCCGGCGACGCGGGCCGTGGGGGCGTGGCCTTCTCCAAGGACCTGGAGGCCCAGCTGGAGGACATACTGTCGCCGTCGCTGGCTGAGCTGACGCCCGGCGGCGTAGCCCTTGGGCAGTTCACGGAGCTCCGGGTCGGGGACCAGGTCTCAGCGAGCATCAAAGAGCCCCGAACCCTAGCCACACGCATGACGATGCGGCGTGACTCAGGCCCCCCCTCTTTGCACCATGGATCATCAATCTGGGCGGTTTGGCTTGCTACGGTCTGTGAACAGACCTCCTATCCCACTTCTGCTGGAAAAACATTTTTTGTTCCCAATCGGTGCTTGCACCGACGGGGTCTTAGCGGATATTGAAGGATTTGGCCAAAATTCCGAGCCGATTTCGGTAGGCAGCTGGGTTCCTGGTTCCGGATTCCTGGGTTCCCAGTTCCGGGTTCCGGGCCGATTTCGGTGGGCGGCGGGGTTCCCGGGTTCCCGGGTTCTTGTTCGATTTTCTTATCGGTCGGTCTCACCATCGATCTCATCAATTTTTCCATCGATCTCGTTATCGATCTCACAGTCGATCTCATGATCGATCTCACAATCGATCTCACTATACATCTCACGAGCGATCTCACGACCGATCTCGCTGTCGATCTCATTGAATCGATTTTACGATCGGTCTCACGATCGACCTTGCAATCGTCCTCACTATCGATTCCACGATCGATCTCACTATCGATCTCACAATCGATCCCAACATCCATATCACAAATGTTCAAACCATCCACTGATCGTTTTTTTTCTCCGGTGTAATTTCAAAGTCTCCTAACTTAGGTCCGCTCCCAAATGGTTAGGGGCCCCTTTATGGCTGATCAAGGTCAAGGTGAAGGCTGGGGTGGGGTACCACGCGGGCGGCAAGGAGTACTACAAGGCAGGCGATCTGGGCCAGATCGAGAAAGTCGACGTCGTCGGCGGCGAGCGGATGGCGACGATCCGCTGGCAGCGCAGCGGCCACCGCAGCGTCGCGGGGCTCCCCGCACTGAGCAAGAGGTTCGTGCACATCCAGGCAGCGAGGAAGTCTGCGCCGGCCATGCTGGTGGGCAGCACCACCTCCGGCTATGTGTTCGCTCTGGAGCTGGAGTCTGGAGACGAGCTGTGGGCGACCCAGGCCTCGGACCAGATCGCCGGTGTCAAGGGCGCGGTCTCTGGCAAGGACGGGATCGTGGTGGTCGCGACCAACCGCTGCAAGGACCACCTCTGCTACCGCTACCGCAACTCTACCAACCCCCTGACTCCGGGCAACAAGATCGTGCGGGGCTTCAGCGCCTCGGACGGCAGCTCCGTGTGGGAGTATGCGACTTTCTCCCCGGTGTGGAACTTTGTACCTCAGTACCACACGAGCGACGGGACCGTGATGTTCAGCGATCAGGAGGGCAACACGTACTGCCTGGACCTGCAGTCCGGGTCGGAGAAGTGGATGCACCAGGGGGCCATGGGCACCTACGCCCAGTCCAACGCCGTGTACGACCCCACCACGAACCTCATCTTTGCCATGGGCGTGCAGGCGTACGAGAGCAAGTACTGCAACCCGTTCCCGGCCCCGGGCGTCCTGCCTCTCTGCGGGACGTGGCCAGGCTCGCCGGGCTGGGTGCGCGCGCTCAACGCGAGCTCCGGCCACGCGCGCTGGGAGCTCGAGACCCCAGAGCCCCCGTCCAGCGCCGCCGTCGGCATGTTGAACAGTCCCAGGCCTAGCTGCCCTGATACGCCCGTGCTGACAGGCAACACGTGCCGTGTTCAGAGCGTCCGTGTTGAGACGCTGCGTGTTGGCTCGGCACGTGCTGGTCCACGTTTTGGCGAACGCATCGCGCCGTGTTCAGAACGTGCGTTTTGGCGAGACGCTGCGTTTTGGCTCGGCACGTGTTGGTCCAGTTTATGTTTTGAGCTTCATACCAGCACGCTATGTGTTGCCTGTTGCGTATCCGGACAGCTAAGGCCCCAAGTTCCACTCTCGGCTCGTGCTCGGCCTGGGGCACAACTGCCACTATCCGTGTGCCTGCGGCAGATGCCGCCCCCGTGCCACGGGCGCAGAGGCTCGGGGAGGGGGGTGGCTGGGGGGGAGGGCGAGGCGCGTGCCACTGTGTGACGGCCAGGAGGGGGGCGGGGGCCTCCTCCACATCGCTCACAGAGGACCCCCCCCGGGCAGCACCTGGCACCTCGCTCACACGCTCGCGCCGTGCACCCACGGTGGCGCACAACTCCCCCTCCAAGATCTGGGCCGTCGACCCGCCCAACGGCCACATCCGCTGGACGAAGGCGGGCCCCACGCTCTGGGCGGGCATGTGCGCCGGGGACCTGGAGGGCGGCGACATCCGCAGGGCCATGGGCGGTCGCGCGGCGTGCGCTCCGGGCGCCTGGTCCGCTCCCGCAATCGACCAGCACGGTGACGTCTACATCGGCAGCCAGGTCCGGCTCGGGGCGACAGCGGGGGGGGCCCGGGGGGACGGGGCGGGGGAGGGGGAAGTCCGGTGCGTGCAGCTGGGCGCCGGGAGGCGCCGGGAACACCAGCTGCGTGCAGCTGGTTCGCTGACCCTCCCGTGCCATCCCCCCCGCCCCTCGTCCGCCCCGACAGGTGGGGGAGCTCCAGAGGTGGGGGACGGAGAACAGCGGGGGGGCCAGGGACGTCAGGCTGCTCTCGACGCTCAACACGGGGGTGGCCTTCCAGGACCAGGCCGTTGCGTTCGCCACGGGCATCATGGCTGTGTCAACGTGCACGTCGCTCCTAGTCTTCCAGACTTACAGCGACCAGCCCACGATTCCAGACAACGTGACGATGAAGACCGAGTGGTATTAGCGATTGTTAGCGGGAGTGTGCACTGAGGGCCTGGGAAAGAGCTTAGCGCGCCCAGCGGGCACTGGAATCGGTGGCACTGGTGAACCAACCGCCGCCGATGCCGAGGATGGTAGGACGAAGGGAAGTGGGCTTTGGCGCACGGATTGCGTGCGGGCTTTGTCTCTCCTTTCTCATTTGTCTAGCCCCTCGTTCGTGTTGTGCGCTCTGGCGCACAATGCGCTTGCTCCTCCTTCTTCTGCCCACCCTGCTCCCTCCTCGAAAGGGAGGGCCGTGCGTAGCCGGGCGGAGCTAGGACGAGGATAAATCCGTTCCAGAGCGTTCCGAAACGCTCTCAGAGCGTTCCGGAACTCTCTGAAAAGGCCGCGGCGTCCGAGACATCGTCCAGAACCTTTGGAACTCAGAGATTCTCGATTTTATCCTCACCCGATTTCATCTTCGTCCTGGCTTCGTCTTACGTAGGGCTCGCAGGGATCTCGCAGTTGCTGGGCATTGCCAGACTTCGAGGAAGACTGGGCTCCCTCCCACCTCCTCTGCAAAAGTGTCCCCACTCCGCGCGGATCCTGCCAGCAGGCTAGCGCCCGCCCATTCCTCCTCCTCCGCCTCCTCCTCCTCGTCCTGCTCCTCCTGCCCCTTTTTTGTTGCTGCTCTTCTCCTTCCTCCTTCTCCCCCTCCTCCTCCTCCTTCCCCTCCTCCTCCTTCCCCTCCTCCCTTCTCCTCCTCCTTCCTCCTCCTCCTCCTCCTCCTCCTCGTCTTTCTCCCCCTCCCATCTCCTCCTCCTCCTCCTCCTTTCCCCCCCCTCCTCCCTCCTTCTCTTCCCGGCGGCCTCGTGCGCGAAGGGAGCGGCAGGAGGAGAGGCGAATCGCAGGGCGAGAGGCCCGCACCTGCTTCGCCGAGAGCAGATCAGGATGGACGTTTTTCTTCCCCAGCGTTCGGCCCCCAGGGGCCGCTTCCAGGCCCCAGGCTGAAGCTCGGCCGTTTTCGGGCCCCGGGGTGCCTTCCAGCAGCTTCTCTTCGCCGAGGGCCTCCCGGGGATGCCAGAATCATCCCGATCTTCGCCGCCTGAGGCCCGAGCTATGGCTCGCAATCCCATAGATCCAACGGCCTGGGAAAATCAAGGAGGAGGAGGAGAAGGAGGAGGAGGAGGAGGAGGAGGAGGAGGAGGAGGAGGGGGAGGAGGAGGAGGAGGAGGAGGAGGAGGAGGAGGAGCAGGAGTAGGAGGAGGGGCGAAAAAACCCATAGTCCCCGGGAAGGGGTCGAGAGCTCCAGGGTCCACGTGCTCACAGGATCGATTGACACAGGAGAAGTCTGGGCAGAGAGCGAGGCGACGGCGATGGCTCGGGGACGAGGATCGACAGCTCTGGCTCAACAAGGGCACCCTCGAGGGCGCAAAGTTATTCGCGCTTCGCGGAGCGCAAAGCGCGAAGCTTGGCGCTGTTGCTCAGGGATCAAGGTTCTCGAGCGTTTCTGTAACCTTTGGCTCTCCGTTGGCTGTTCTGGGGGGGGGGCGTTTCAGGGCCAGCCCAGGCACTCTTGGAGAGCCCTACAGGGGGACCTCCCGAGACTCCAGAGACGGGCCGCCCAGACGGTGGCGGAATGGATGGGGTCGGGGCATCGCCAATGCATCGCCGAGGTATCGGCGGTGCAGAGCGACCCCGTCTGCCTCCCCGCCCCCGCCGGGAGGAGGCCTGGATGGAGCAGAGGTGCCGTTCCACTCGCCAGAGAGTCTCGCGCGCCCCCCTCGAGCGGCTCGGGCGATCCCCAGTGCGCCTCTTTTGCGAGGAGGGGGGCTTGTGCACATCCACCTCCTGGGGCACAGGTGTCCTGGGCCTGGGGCCCGAGGAGGCAGTGGCCATGGATATTTTCGGGCCCTGGGGGGACCAACAGTATCCATATCCACTGCCCCCCGGGGGACCTGGGGCATCGGTGCCACGGGGAGTGGACACGCGTAGCTCTGGCCTCCAATCTACCCCCCAGGAGATGCAAGGGGTGGCGGGCCCTCAAAAGTACGTTTCGCAAGCGCAGGCCCGCGGGCGCGCCTTCGGCGCGAGGCCCAACAATCGGGCATTGAACCTCAGCTGTTTCACTTCCTGGCGCGTTTCAGTCGTGATGGCGTGCCTCGGATGCGAGTGCGCGCGCCTTGCGTGTATGTGATCCCGCGCATGGAACGTAAACCCGAACAATTTGACCATTGGGGCGTCATCGTCATCATCGGCATCAGGATCAGATCCACAATCAACATATTCGTGTGTAGTTGCCCGCTTATGGGGCGAGTGCGCGCGCGTGCGCACGTCTGTATACCTTGCCAGACAACAGGCATGCATCCGAACGCGCCCCGCGTCGCCGAGGGCGCCCTCTTGGACATGAGTCTGCGCATTCCTCCACGATTGCGCCCGCGCCGGGGGGGCTCAGTCGTTTGCGGCGCTAGAGCGGCGACGATGACGACGCCGACGACAACGACGCCGCCGACGACGACGACGATGATGACGTCGGCGACGGCGATGGCGACGACGACGTCCAGGCCTCCTGGGGTTACCTTCGAGGTTTCCCTGGCCCTGCAGGTCCATGGAGGTTTCCGGGAGATTCCGGTGGTTTTGTCTGGCGGCCACCGACGACGACGACGGCGACGGCGACGGCGACGGCGACGGCGACGGCGACAGCGACGACGCCGTCCACGAGCCCATTGCAGTGCCCTCCCCCCAGAGGTTTCCCCGGCGTCTTTTTCAAAAAGACGCCGGGGCGTCCTCGAGGTCCCCGGAGGCTTCCCCGGAGGCTCGAGAACCCGCCCGCTGATTCTCGCGGACCCGCACAGATTCTCATGGATCGTGTTGGGTTTCCAGCGAAGGTTCGCGGCGGATCCCGGCGGATTCTCCAAAATTTTGCTGCGTTTCTGACGAGGGTTTGCGGCGATTTCTTGCGGATTCTTGTGGGTTCTCGCGGATTCTCGCGGGCTCGGCTCTGTCGCGCGCCGCTTTCGGGCCGCGCGCGCGCATAAAGGCCGCGAGGGCAGCGGGCGGCGATGACCGTAACCGCCCGCGCGCTTCTGCAGGCTATTGCGTCCGCCTGCGGGCGCTGGGCAGTGCCTTCTGTCGTTCCACCAGGCGCGCGCCATCGCTTGTGGCCGCCTCGCGATGCCAGTCGGTGCCTCCGCGCATGCGAGCGCCGCTGCGCTCCTGTGAGCGCCTTCTCGGCAGTGCCTCTGAGCGCGCTCGCGCGCCTGAGAGCACCCGTGCGCTACCGCCTATGGGCGCTTGCGAGCAACCGCCTAGATGCAGGGTTCGCCCGTCGTTGCCGGGCGTCCCACGGCTACACATGGCTTCCCATGTGTCCTCCCATGACCTCCGATGGCTTCCCGCCCCGCTGGCCTTGAGCGCCCGGGTCGGCCGTTGGTGCTGGCCCCCCCGCGGCAAACTGCGTTCTCCAGTAGCCGCCTGTGGCTGTGCCTTTGCTGGTGCCTCGCCCGCCGCGGCTCTGCTCCCGTGGATCCGATCATTTGTCGTTTTCGGCCAGTGCTCCGAATTTGAATATCTGTAGAGAAAATTCAATGAAAATTGGCCCCGCGCCAGAACCGAAAGTGTGAAACCAGGTCAAATACCAGCGCTTGGCGAGCAACAGAAGTCAATATCGCCGTCTTGGCGCAAAACCGTCGCCGGCAATCCATCTGGTTTTGCCGGGGGGCCCGGCACCCCCCGCAACTCCGACTTTCCCTGACATTCGAAGCCGGTGCGCGGCGATGCCGACCCCGCCTCTCCCCGGAGCTCGGACGCGCGCTCTTTCGTGGCCCAGTCGCGCTCGTGTTCCTTCGAGGACGGCTCGGCCGAGAGAGTCAGATCCCCACCGAATCTGCTGAAGGCGTGGGCGGGGTGGCCGTGGCAGGCCAGCGCAAGCTTGCGGGAGCAGAACAAGAGTGGATTCAAGATCTGTCTCGCGCGAGTGGAATGTTTTCTTTGTGGGGAGGCGGTGGTTAGCATAGTGCCTATACCAGCGCCGTCGACACGGCAACCCAGAGCCCCACACCAGACATTTTTATGCCGAAGCGCTCATTGGGGGTATCGTCTCGACGGGGCGGGAGCAAAACGAGGGCGGATCCCCAGCGGTAGTGAAAATTGCTCTTCCGAGCGAGTTCGCGAGCGACGCGACGAACATGTCCGTGTCCATGTCTTTGCTGTCTTAGGGGCGCGATCCCATGGACACGCGATCCCACGGCTCCGCCCTGGACTCCACGCAAAGTCGCCCTGTTGGGGTGCGGCCGAGGCCGTGGGTGCAGATGCGCAGGTAATGCACCGTGTTCGTCGCTGGCTGCGCCGGTAATTCCAGCGGCTTATTTTTTGTCGTAACGGCGCCGCTGCTTCTGACCATCGGGTTTGTAATAGTTTCTTTCTTGTCGTAGCGGTGCCGTCCCTGTGGCTAGCAGGAAATTTTGAGCTTCGAAACTACCCACTTCCAGCTTGGGCTTCCTCTTGAACTTACGGGAGGTCGTTGGGGAGCCTGCGGGCACCCCGCTCGATGTGGGCCAATGCGTGTCTGGACGTCGGTGGTCTGTGGTCGGAGAGCGTGAGAGGCCTGTGCGGCCCCCCCCCCCCTTGCTGCTCTCTCGAAAGAGGGGGCAGTGGCCAGGGCGGACGCCACTGCTGTCGCGGCCTGCGTGCCACCTGCTCGCCCACGGAGACCTGTCCGCAGTGTCGTCGGGAAGGAAGTAAAAGGGTGCAGACGTGCCCGCCGCCGACAGAGAACGCGGGGCGCCGGTGCGCCGTGCGCTCCCGGAATCGGCCGTGCCCCGCCCTCCGCCGCCCGCCGCTTTCCAGCCTCTCGCCGCTGCCAGGCCAGGGGCCCCTGCGCCGTCTGCGGGCGCGGGAGTTGCGCAGGAGGCTTTTGCGTAGCCTGGTCCCCTCTCCCCCCTCCCCCTTCCGCCTCGCCGTCGCCCTCGCCCTCGCCCGCCCCCTCTCCTTCCCTCCCCTTCCATTCCTTTCCCTCATGCATAACTCCTCCCTGTCGCACCTAGA